TTTAAGTTTCATTAGGTCCCATTTGTTTATTTTTGTTTTTATTGCCATTTCTCTAGGAGGTGGGTCAAAAAAGATCTTGCTGTGATTTATGTCAGAGTGCTCTTCCTATGTTTTCCTCTATGAGTTTTATAGTGTCTGGTTTTACGTTTAGGTCTTTAATCCATTTTGAGTTTATTTTTGTGTATGGTGTTAGGGAGTGTACTAATTTCACTCTTTTACATGTAGCTATCCAGTTTTCCCAGCACCACTTATTGAAGAGACTGTCTTTTCTCCATTGTATATCCTTGCCTCCTTTGTCATAGATTAATTGACCATAGGTGCATGGGTTTAACTCTAGGCTTTCTGTCCTGTTCCATTGATCTATATTTCTGTTTTTGTGCCAGTACCATATTGTCTTGATTACTGTAGCTTTGTAGTATAGTCTGAAGTCAGGGAGTCTGATTCCTCCAGCTCCTTTTTTTCCCCTCAGGATTGCTTTGTCTATTTGGGGTCTTTGTGTCTCCATACATATTTTAAGATTTTTGTTCTAGTTCTGTAAAGAATGCCATTGGTAATTTAATAGGGATTGCACTGAATATGTAGATTGCTTTGGGTAGTTTAGTCATTTTCACAATATTGATTCTTCCAACCCAAGAACATGGTATACCTCTTCATCTGGTTGTGTCATCTTTGATTTCTTTCATCAGTGTCTTATAGTTTTCTGAGTAGAGGTCTTTTACCTCCTTAGATAGGTTTATTCCTAGGTATTTTACTCTTTTTGTTGCAATGGTGAATGGGAGTGTTTCCTTAATTTCTCTTTCTGATCTTTCATTGTTAGTGTATAGGAATGCAAGAGATTTCTGTGCATTAATTTTGTATCATGCAACTTTACCAAATTCATTGATTAGCGCTAGCAGTTTTCTGGTAGCATCTTTAGGATTATCTGTATATACTGTCATGTCATCTGCAAACAGGGACAATTTTACCTCTTCTTTTCCAATTTGTATTCCTTTTGTTTATTGTTCTTCTCTGATTGCCATGGCTAGGACTTCCAAAACTATGTTGAATAAGAGTGGCAAGAGTGGGCAACCTTGTCTTGTTCCTGATCTTAGAGGAAATGCTTTCAGTTTTTCACCATTGAGAATGATGTTTGCTGTGGGTTTGTCGTATATGGCCTTTATTATGTTGAGGTAGGTTCCCTCTGTGCCCACTTTCTGGAGAGTTTTTATCATAAATGGTGTTGAATTTTGTCAAAAGCTTTTTCTACATCTATTGAGATGATCATATTGTTTTTATTCTTCAATTTGTTAGTATAGTGTATCACATTGATTGATTTGTGTATATTGAAGAATCCTTGCATCCCTGGGATAAATACCACTTGATCATGGTGTATGGTCCTTTTAATGTGTGTTGGATTCAGTTTGCTAGTATTCTGTTGAGGATTTTTGCATCTATATTCATCAGTGATACTGGTCTGTAATTTCCTTTTTTTGTAGTATCTTTGTCTGGTTTTGGTATCAGGGTGTTGGTAGCCTCATAGAATGAGTTTGGGAGTGTTCCTTCCTCTGCAATTTTTGGAAGAGTTTGAGAAGGATGGGTGTTAGCTCTTCTCTAAATGTTTGATAGAATTCACCTGTGAAGCCATCTGGTCCTGGACTTTTGTTTGCTGGAAGATTTTTAATCACAGTTTCAATTTCATTACTTGTGACTGGTCTGTTCATATTTTCTATTTCTTCCTGGTTCAGTCTTGGAAGGTTATACCTTCCGATGAATTTGTCTGTTTCTTCCAGGTTGTACGTTTTATTGGCATAGAGTTTCTTGTAGTAGTCTTTTATGAGCTTTGTATTTCTCCGGTGTCCATTGTAACTTCTCCTTTTTCATTTCAAATTTTATTGATTTGAGTCCTCTCCCTCTTTTTCTCGATGAATCTGGCTAAAGGTTTATCAATTTTGTTTATCTTCTCAAAGAACCAGCTTTTAGTTTTATTGATCTTTGCTATTATTTTCTTTGTTTCTGTTTCATTTATTTCTGCTCTGACCTTTATGATTTCTTTCCTTCTACTAACTTTGGGTTTTGTTTCTTCTTCTTTCTCTGGTTCCTTTAGGTGAGGTGTAAGGTTAGATTGTTTATTTGAGATTTTTGTTGTTTCTTGAGGTAGGCTTGTATTGCTATAAACTTCCCTCTTACAACTGCTTTGCTGCATCCCATAGATTTTGGATCATCATGTTTTGTTGTCATTTTTCTCCAGGTTTTTTTTGATTTCCTCTTTGATTTCTTCAGTGATGTTTTGGTTAGTTAGTAACGTATTGTTTAGCCTTCATGTGTTTGTGGTTTTTGTGTTTTTTTCCCTGTAATTTATTTCTAATCTCATAGCGTTGTGGTCAGAAAAGATGCTTGATATGATTTCAGTTTTCTTAAGTTTACCAAGGCTTGATTTGTGACCGAAGATGTGATCTACCCTGGAGAATGTTCCATGTGCACTTGAGAAGAAAGTGTAATCTGCTGGTTTTGAATGGAATGTCCTATAAATATCAATTAAATCTATCTGTTCTATTGTGTCATTTAAAGCTTGTGTTTTCTTCTTAATTTTCTTTCTGGATGATCTGTCCATTGGTGTAAGTGAGGTGTTAAAGTCCCCCACTATTACTGTGTTACTGTCGATTTCCTCTTTTATAGCTTTTTGCATTTGCCTTATGTATTGAGGTGCTCCTATATTGGGTACATATATATTTATAATTGCTGTATCTTCTTCTTGGATTGATCCCTTGATTATTATGTAGTGTCCTTCCTTGTCTCTTGTAACATTCTTTATTTTGAAGTCTCTTTTATCTGATATGAGTATTGCTACTCCAGCTTTCTTTTGATTTCCATTTGCATGGTATATCTTTTTCCATCCCCTCACTTTCAGTCTGTATGTGTTCCTAGGTTTGAAGTGGGTGTCTTGTAGACAGCATATATATTAGTTGTTTTTCTGGGGTTTTATCTTGTTCCTTCATCTGGTACATAGTCCTCTGCCTTTTCATTTGGTCTGTCTTTCTGTGAATTTCGTTTTCATTCCACAGGCTGCAGGATTGTAGTTCTTCTTGCTTCTGCTGTCTGCCCTCTAGCTTCCTTCATTTTCTTTCCTCTTTTTTTCTCCTTGAATACGCTGTAGATGTGCTTTGGATGCATCATTTCACAAACGCTGCTCTTGTCAATGTCACCAGTGACTAGAATATTGCTTAATGACCCCATGACCAATTTTGAATCCTCATCTTAATTAACTTAGCAGCATTTGATAACAGTTGTTTACCCCCTCCTTGGAAATTTTTTTTGAATATATGTCCAGATTAACAGCATTCTGGAATCTTCCATACTCCCAGCCATTCCTCTTCAGCCTTGTTTGCTGAGCCTCTACATACTGAATGGCTCAGGCTGAATCCTTAGACTTCTCTCCGCCATCTACACTCACTCGTAGTTTCTCATCCAGCCTCATGCCTTTAAGTACATATGTATTTTTGCTCTTCCACATATAAGTCTTTTTTTTTTTTTGTCTGTGCTGTGGGACTGGTGGGATCTTAGTTCCCCTACCAGGGATTGAACCCAGACCCGCGGCAGTGAGAGCTCGGAGTCCTAACCACTGGACCGCCAGGGAATTCCCCCCACATTTATGTCTTTAGCACATTCCTCTCATCCGAAATGCATAAACACTGGATTTCTTTATCCAGTTGCCTACTTAACTTTTCCACTTGAATGACAAATAAGCATCTCAAATTTACAATAGCCAGAGTCAAGTTGGCAGTCTTCCCCACTGCTCCAAACCTGATTCTCTTGCAGTCTTTCACGTACCAGGAATTGGTAAGCTTCATCCTTCTGGTTGCTCAGGCCAAAAATCCTTTGATTCATCCCTGACTCCTTTCTTTTTCTGACACTTTAAATTCAGTCCATCAGCAAAATCTGTCAGCTCTCCCAGAGAGTGTGAATCCAAAATGTTCACCACCTCTGCTAATGCAAGCCACTATACTCTTCCCTTAATTAATGTAATGAGTTCCAGACTGATTTTCCTATTTCTATCCTTGCTCTTTACAGGGAACCTACACTGTTTGTGGTCATTCTCTCATCTCATCTCCTAATGAGATACCTTGTTCACTCCTCTCCAGCTCTCCCTGCTGGTCCTAGAACATTGAAGCACATTTCTTCCTCAGGGGCACTGCCCTGTGTTTCCTCTGGCTGGGACCCTTTTCTTCATGCCATATTATCTGAAGTCTGTTTATGCCCACATAACCTTCAGCCTCCCCACCCTCTTCCATCTTTATTTTTATCCAGAGCCTTTATCACCACGTGACATTTTATCTATTTTCTTATCTATTTTTTGTCTGTCTCCTTCTCTTTACTAAGGCTCGTGAGAGCAGGGATATTTGTGTGTGTTTTTTGCTACTCTATCTATAGTGGCTGGCACAGTGAGAAAACAATAAATACCCTTTAAACCAGTGAATAATGAATGGTGAGTGACTCTTTTGGAGGTTATCAATTTCATAAGCAGCATAGTTATTAACTTATAGAAATATATATATATGATAAAAATATGAAGCACACAAGAGGGTGTGCAGTGAAAAGTGAGTATCCTATGCCTACTGTCATCCTCCATGGTTTTATTCTTAAAAAAAGGTCTGTGTGTATACAAACATGTCTCTCTTCCACCTAAGGAATAGTGTGCAAACTATCCTACACATTGCTATTTACACTTAATATATATTTTTGGAGATCATTCTTCATTATTATATATAGTGCATTTACATATGCATATATTATATATTAGTATATATAATATATACTAACCTAGAATGATCTCCAAAAATCTCTCTATAAAGCATAAATAGCCATGTGTAGGATTGTGTGTAGACTATTTTAAAATGTGTATGTATGTATATACATATATATTACATATACATAGTAATATATATATTACTTTTCAGACTTTTTCCTGGCTGATGGTTGAGTTTCAACTCAACATTTAGGCTGATTTTTTTTTTCCTTTGCAGTGCCCACTGTTGATGTCTTTCAGATTTCCACAAAAGAGAGATTTGGACTGGGACATCAGCTGAAAAAGTAAGTTTTCCAATGAATAAAAAACAAATTTCTATTAAAGAGAACTGAGTTCTCATTTTGCTCACCACTCCCCGTCGCATCTTTATTCAACAAAGCTTTTTGAAGTAAATGCTTCAGGAGCGGAAGTCGTCCTGATGCTAAGAGCTGCATCAGTAATTTAGCTGGCAGAGCTCCCTTTAGAACTGAGCCAGATTCCTTCCATCTGCCCCCCCGGATTCACTCCTCCCTCAACATCCTGCCTTCCACCTGAGGAGGTGGGCATATAAAAATTAGAAAATAAACCCTTAATGTTTAGAATTCCACATCTTTGAAACTAAATTCAATTTGCAACATATATTTAGCACATTATATTATGCAGTGTTTTCTTTTTAAGGACTCAATATAGATTCATCAGTTGTAACAAATGCACCACTCCGGCAGATGTTGCTAATAGGGAAGCTATGGGCAGGGGCATATGCAAAATCTCAGTACCTTCCTCTCAATTTTGCTGTGAACCTAAAACCGCTCTAAAAAAATAAAGTCATTAAATTAAAAATAATTTTTAAAATGAGGGAGAAAATTGGGTGAGGGAAAAAATATCACAGGGGAAATTTTCTGTTTCCTGTACCGGATTAGGTATCCTTTTCCAGTGCAATTGGCTTTGTTTTTTCAATTGGATTTTGTTTTTCAAGCCAGTATCTTACAGGTCTTGGAACTAAGCATGGATCCTGCCTTCTACGTTAAGCCATTCGAGTTGGCCACCACCTCATTTTAGCACGTTTCCCGCCCCCCCAGCCATGATTTTTTTCCCTCATCCAATTTTCTCCCTCATTTTAAAAATTATTTTTAATTTAATGACTTTATTTTTTTAGAGCGGTTTTAGGTTCACAGCAAAATTGAGAGGAAGGTACTGAGATTTTGCATATGCCCCTGCCCATAGCTTCCCTATTATCAACATCTCCTGCCGGAGTGGTGCATTTGTTACAACTGAAGAATCTGTATTGACTATGATTATCACTCAGAGTCCAGAGTTCTACTTTATGTACTTTTGTAAGCCACTTAAGAACTTTTTTGTGGGGGGGGGGAGGTGAAATGCCATTGGTCCAAATGAGACAACAATTATAAAAGCACAGAAGTCTAGGAATAGATAGCTTCCTACCCTTAATGTCATTTGAGCTCAGAAAAAGAAATTATATGTGTAATCCCAACCCTGAGAAATTAAGGAAAGCTATACTCTGTATTCACTGTTGAATCACCTTGTAGAATATGTAACATTTTATTAATAGTGCCACCCAAAGGTTTAACATTTTTAAAAAGTTATTTACTTTTATGGACAGATTTTAATTATATGAAAAGTTTGGTATATGAACTAGAACTTTATTTAATGACCCTTGATAAATTTTAGACTAATTTAGTTTCTTTCCTTAATTATAAATAACTGGGTTTGTTTGTGATCTTCTAGTCTAAAATTATATATAATAAAATTTCAAAATCTGATCTCATCCTCACAATGTCATAAGAGGAAGTTGAAATATAAAGAGGTTATTTTCCAGAAATATACAGCAAGTTAGGAAGGCAGATTTAGAATCTAGGCCCTTTGTTTTTGCTCAGGAAATAAGAAACACTCATTAAACTTTTTCTGTGATTCTTTATCTTGTGTGTTTCTGGCAGTAAGAGTCTAAACAACAGCAACAGCAAATGCTTATGCAGTGCTGCTTACATGTCAGGCACTTAGAATAGTGACATATATTAGCTCCCTTGATCTTCACAACAACCCTATCAAGCAGGTACTGTTACTCTCCACGTTTCCTAGATGATGAAGCCCAGGCCGAGAGCTTAAGCAACTTGGTTAAGCTCACACACTCTGAGAAAGTGGTACAGCCAGAATTTGACTCCATATCAATACTTTTGATCCATCCACTAATCTGCCTCTCATATAATCCTAGATACTCCTTTGTCTTAATAAGGCTTGGAATATATTTTCATCATTGAATGGATATTGGGAAAATGTGAGGTCATTAAAAGAGCCTGAAAGAGAAAATACTGACCCCAAACAGATGTAATATAGTGATCAGCCTTGAATAGGGTATCTATCAATCAAAGGCTAAGCATATCACAGACTATGGAAATAATCTTAAACTGTGTGTGACTTTATGTTGAATTGATGTTGATCAAACTTAAGTTTTTGTTGTTGTTGTTGTTGTTGTTGTTGTTGTTGTTGTTTTTTGCGGTACGTGGGCCTCTCACTGTTGTGGCCTCTCCCGTTGCGGAGCACAGGCTCCGGACGCGCAGGCTCAGCGGCCATGGCTCACGGCCCTAGCCGCTCCGTGGCATGTGGGATCTTCCCGGACCGGGGCACGAACCCGTGTCCCCTGCATCGGCAGGCGGACTCTCAACCACTGCGCCACCAGGGAAGCCCCTTAAGTTGTTTTTAAAAGGAAAAAAATACATTGCAAATCTCCAACATTGCCTGAAGTGCATACAAACATAAAGTATGGTGTAAATTCTTCGTATGTTGAGTTCACATTTATAACACAAAATTCAATTTATAACTGATGTGCAAATCAAAATAAAACACTCAAATTTCAAATTAATATACTAATTTAATTTGATGGATGGTGTCATTTCGCTTTCTCTTCTGAACTACCCTGGAAGCTTTGTTCACATAGCTGGCTGTGACCTCATCTGGTCTTCAGTTGATGTGAATGTATAATTTACCTTGAAGTCTTTTTCCCTTCTTTTATCATCAGCCAATGGCAGTTAAAGTAGTTCTTCTTAGTGACAGCACAAACTCAACCACCAGTGTGAGCACTGAAATCTCTCGGTGGCTCTCTATTATAAGGGGGTGGTCGTTATACCAAATGTGCTCATATGTATATTTCAGATCACAGTTGAAATGAAACACTATATTGAATTTCTTATAGGAGGTAGTTAACTCCTCCCTTTCGAATCCAAGAACATGTAGGGATTTGGGTGTGCAAGTTTAAGAATTACTAGTTTTAGACGTTGCAGTCACACTTTAGAATGCTAACGTAATATAAAAGTGGGAACAATTTTAGCTCTTTTACTTGTTATTTTTTGTTCCAGTTAGCCTATCAAGAATCAGAGAAGCACTTGCTTGGTTTCTTAGGGAATGGTACACAGGAATGGCAGTTTTTCATAGGAGGAAAAGAATCTGAATCTGCTTGGTACAAAGGGTGGTGTCACTGGAGATTTCAAGTTAAGTACAAGGGAAAATGATGACCTTAATATTACTATTACATTTAAATCTTGATGAAATCTTGGGAGAAAAAAGCCTTCAAAAATTAAGTGGAAAATAAGAACTTTCCCTCGTCCTGAGCTCTAGGGAGAATTTTCTGCAAATTTGGAATCATGCATCATGGACTGCAGCTTTACCCCCTTCTTCCTCACTACGTCTACAGCTAAAAAGACAGCAAATAATTGCACGTTTCCTCTGAATTCATCTAAGCTAGCTCACTCAAGTTTGGGGTAGTTAGTCTGAGTGATGTTGTTTCTGGCGATCTGAGTTAATGTGGTGAGACCTGAAGGATCTCAAGAAAATAACAATTGGCCTAGTGCTAAGAGTCACAGCTGCCCCTTTTGAATAACATAACGTTAACATAGGTCTCTCCGTGTTGGATAACATCGGTGTTACAGCTCTGCTTACTATCCAGGCTAGCTTGGACAGATTTCATTTCCGTACCTTCCTTGTGAAATGTGTGGAAGGAGAAAAACAAATCTGTATATGAAGTTCCTCTTTCGCCCCCTGCTGTATTGTAAACAGTAGATATTGGTACCATCTTCCTGGTCCGAAAGCAATCTGTGTTAGAAACAGCTGAAAAGAGCAGGAAAGCAGGACCTGCTGAATTGACTTGGGAAAGAAAATTAAAATGTTTAATTTACTGCGCACAATGTTTAATTGTAAAATTTTGCCTCTACTTAAATGTCAGCCTTCAGGGACTCTTCTCCGTTGTCACTGGAGGGATGGGATCCAGAGGAGCTGCCACAGCCTGAGACCCTTCTCAGAAAACAAGGCTGTGTCTTTCTTAAATCCACCTTTGACGTCCTAGAATTCTTTATCACAAAACAGTGATGCCATGGTCTTGACTTAGAAAATACTGAGATCAGAAGTTACCAAATTCCTGCCTTAGGATAGGAACTAAAAATTCTTAGAGGATCACCATCTTTTAAAAAACCAGCACATTTTAAAGTGAATGGTGGCTGTGCTGAGCGTAAAACTTGCTGACCTCCTAATTCTCCATAGAGTCAATTTTGCGTGGCTTATTTTTGTTTACGATTTTGTAGTTGCATTTTGTTTTCCTTTGCATGAAGAAAAATACATAAGCAAATCAAGGAGAAGGAAAAGAACTTTACTTGTATCTTAATAAATCATAATTACTAACAAAACATTTTTTAAAACCTGTGTTGCTGGCACCAACAAAATAATTCAGACTTTTCTTTTGCCACCTCAGCTAAAGGTGTTGATACTAAAGGCCGTCCTTATAAATCTCTTTGTATCCTTATTCTTTTATCAACTTCTTAATCGTTTGTATTTTTAATTATGTCACAGTAATTAATTAATTATTAATCATAACACAGTAAAATCATAGAAATTTTCTATAGGATGCTTTCCTACACAAGAAGACATCTTGTATGGTTCAAAATTAAACTCCGCCTAATTACCATGCATTTATTTTCCCTTGATAAATGCATTCTCTACATAATCCATACAGAAATCTGATATTAAATTACCTTGGAACTGTGATAACAAACTTACCTTTGGTTTGACAGAATCATGCAGACATTTGTTACACAGCAGTGGAAACAGAGCAAAGAAAAATCCAGTTGCCTGCACAATAAGAAGCTGTCAGAGAAGAAAGTGAAGTCTCCCCTGCATCTATTTTCTACCTTGCGCAGGTGGGTAACAGACGTCTTTCCATCGTCTTACTAAACGCTGCACCTGTGATATTCCATGCTTATTTAATTCAAAGCATTCTTGCTACAGTCTTGGAATCTGTTTATTTTCTTTATGACTTTAAAGAACAGACCAAGTTAACATCCATTCCATCAAAAAACACAGATACTCATTTCTATGTTTTGAGTTTGTGTTTCCTTTACATGGGTTAAATTTACTAAAATTACATTGTTTGGTTTCTAATCACATAGAGTTTTCCCTACCAGAATTAGTCCTTTATATGGCTCTGGGATAGGTAGGAGGGAAAAACAAACAAACAAACAAACAAACAAACAAACTGGACAAACCTTTTTTGCTTTCCAGGAAACATAGAATTCAGTCCCTGTGGTCTTTCCATACATATTTGGTTTCAATTTTGGCTGGATAAGCTGGATTAAAAAGACATGGTATTTGTAACAGAGTTGAGTTGATTGAGCCCGACAAGTGTTCTCCATGGTCTGTTGCACTCATGATTTCCCCTGTTAATTGTTGCATTTTGAAGGTCGCCAAGTTATCCTCCCCCTGGTTGTGGAAAAAGCAAATCCAAACTGAAATCGGAGCAAGACGGGATCTCCAAGACGCATAAGCTGCTGCGGAGGACTTGTTCCAGCACAGTCAAGACGGAGGACGTGTGCGCCCCGAAGCCGCACAGGACCTTCGGTCGCTCGCTGTCCAGCGACCCCCGGGCTGAGCAGGCGGTGACGACCATTAAGTCACACAAACTCTTGAACCGTCCCTGCCCTGCAGCTGTCAAGCAGGAGGACTGCCTCGCTCTCAAGTCTCACAAACTCTTGACTCGCTCTTGTTCTGGAGACCCGCGCTGTGAGCACAACGCCAGCCTGAAGCCTCACAAACTGCTAAGCAGGTCTTATTCCAGTAACCTCAGAATGGAAGAATTATACGGACTCAAGAATCACAAGTTGCTCAGCAAGTCTTACTCCAGTGCCCCCAAGTCATCCAAAACGGAGCTTTTCAAGGAACCCAGCGCAGAGGGCCGGAGGCTCTCTCTTACCTCAGGGCTCATTGGTATCTTAACACCATCATCATCTTCATCTTCCCAGCCTGCTGTGCGTACATATTTTCATCTTGAGTTCTTAAATGTCAGCTAAGGGGCAGTAGAGGGTTTTGTTAGTTACTTTGTTTTGCAAGATCTGGTAAAGGAAAGAAGCACAGTTTTGTTTTTGTTTTTTAAAATTTACAGTTTTTTTCTTTTGGATGTTATTTTGCATACCACACATTTGCAACTGGTACTGGAATGTTCGTTTTGATTCTGAAAAAATAAATGTGGCTGTCAATTTGAGGTCTAGTCCAGAGTCCTGTCACGGGAATGAATGCTACTAAAAATGGAAGGAAGTTCATTGGATTCACAAAGCCTGTCCTTTTAAGCAAGCATAGCATTTTTAATGTTTTATTAAGTAGGTTTATCTAATCTCTGGTTTTCTCACAAAAGTAGTGGAGCTCAGAGTTTGTCTGATAATTTTTTTTTAGAATAAAAATTGTTGATGTTTTATTTTATTTATTTATTTCTAATAATTAAGAGTGGTGTCCTTCCTATTGTATATAAGAGGACAACTTTGCCCATGAACTTGTGGAGAGAAGTAACAGTTACAGCTGTATCCCTGAGCCTCACTTAAAGCTGCTCTCAGTGTCTACTTTATGAAACTGAAGTCACTTTGTCCTGAAGCTGTTTTGCATGGGGAGATGGGCCTGGGAGGTGACTGTATTAAAGCTTAAGTACTTTGGGTGGTGGTATTTATTGGGAGTCAGTCTTATACAAAGTTTACCTCTAGAGTAATCAGCATTATAGCCAGTTTCAGATAAAGAAACAGACCTATCTTACGTATATTAATTACATAAAATAATTGACCAAAAGTTTTGTTTGCTTTTAGTAAATTTGTGTTTGTGTGTGTTAGGGAGGAACATATTTAACTCTTTAACTATTAATACCGATATACCAAGCAATAGATGAAACAAAAAAAATAAGAAGATACATTTTCAGAAAGTTGTGGTGCTCTTATATAGATTTATTTCTAAAATTACATTGTAAATTATACCATGAAATTTTATATGTGTTAAGAAAATGTATATGAGTATGTTGGTAATTTTAGGTGGATATCCCCAAAGCCCATTTCTTCTCAAAACTAAGTATTAAAGACATATAGAAAAGTAATTATGTCAGAGTTACATAGTAGAAGGTTTCCCATGGTTAGTTTCACCTAAGAAAGATAATTTCGGATATTCTGTAAAAGAAAATGTCTTAATGTCCTCCTGTATGGTTAAGCCTAATACAGTAGTTTAGTATTGTACCCCTTAACAGCAGCTGTCTAGTACGTCCTTGGAGAAATAATTCTGTCTGATTGTAAAATGAGATTGAAATAATCTAAATGAGGAAGTGGGAGCAATCAGTGATGAGTAATAAAGGCAACGAGTTTTTGTGATCATTTAAAGATGCCACTCATTTTTATTAGAAGATCAGAAATTAAGAATGCTGCTCATTTAGTTTAAACAAAGATTGCAGTAGTAATGGAGGAAAGGCCATTATAATAAATTCTAAAATCTCGATGTCATAATCAGTGATTTAATTCACATTACAGGTGATCTTAGATCACATCTGTATTCACTGTTGCAAAAGTAAAAGGCTATAATTTATATATTTTCCTAATTAAACAATTATTTTCTTCTACTTTGCTTTTTATAGCCAAATGGTGCCAAATGTATTCCAGTACGAGACCGTGGCTTCCTAGTGCAGGTATGAGCCAAGCCTCCATCCGTTGTAGAAATAGTTTAGCCTTTAGTGGGTTTTCAAATCCTTCATGAACTTGACTTAATTCTTTCTCTTTATTGTCTTATTCAGACAATTGAGTTTGCTGAACAGCGGATCCCTGTGTTGAATGAATACTGTGTGGTTTGTGATGAGCCACATGTGTTTCAAAATGGCCCCATGCTTAGGGTAAGTTCTCATTGGTGGAATGTCAGTTTAGAATATAAATGAAGAGCGTTAAGATATAAATAAGTAAATAACTGCATTTACAGTAAATACTCTCTATTGAGCCAATTACGTAATACACAAAGTCATAATTTTGACAAATGAGTCACTATTTCTGAAGGAGTCTGTGAAAGATCAAGCTGTTTCGTATTAGCAAAATGTTTCTTATTTCTCACGTGTGCTTATTTATCACTTCAGTGTCTATTCATCTCTCTCTGTATCCATCCATATCGATATGTATATATATGTAAACTTGTAAACACTGTTTTTTCAAAACAGCACAATTTAAAGATAGTTAATACAGAGAGTAGAGGGTAGTCATTGTTCCAGTTAGAAGAGGTATATAGTAGAATCTGGAGAATTAGAGTAAAGATTTCAAAAAAATGCCAACTCACTAACACATTTGAGGCATTATTAAGGGAGTATGGAAATAAGAATCAAAGTATAAGTGGTATTTTGGGGGAGAATTATCCAATTCAAAAGTTTTTTTTGCAATTTTTTTATTGAGATAAAATTTGTATAAATATACAGTTCACTATTTGAATGTGTACAATTCAGTGGTTTTTATTGCATTCACAATGTTGTGCAGCTGTTACTACTAATTCCAGAACATTTCTATTACCGCAAAAAAGAAACCCTATGAAAGTTAGTAATCACTCCCAATTTTCCCCTCACCTCATCCCCTGGCAACCACTAATATATTTTCTGGCTCTATGAATTTGCCTGTTTTAGACATTTCATATAGAAGGACATTAAATATAAGTTATACATTATGTGACCATTTGTTTTTGGCTTCTTTCACTTAGTAAAATGTTTCCGAGGTTCATCTGTGTAGCATGTCTCAGAACTTTATTCCTTTTTATGGTGTAATAAGACTACATTATATGGTTATGTGACTTTTGTTCATCCATTCTTCAGTTAATGGAATTGCTGGGACATATGTTAATGCTACTTAACTGTTTCAGGAACTACCTAACTATTTTTGACAGTGGCTGTACCACTATATTCCTACCAGCAGTGTATGATGGTTTCAGTTTGTCCACATCGTCACCAGCGCTTGTTATTTGCCTCTTTTTTCCCCCAATTATAGCCATCCTAGCATTCATGAAGTGGTATCTCATTGTGTTTTTGATGTGCCCTTCCCTAATGACTAATGATTTGAGCATCTCTTCATGTGCTTATTGGCTATTTGTATATCTTCTTTGGAGAAATGTCTGTTTAAATCCTTTGCCCATTTTTTAATTTGGGTTATTTGTCTTTAGTGAGTTGTAAGAGTTCTTTATATATTCTGAATACTAGGTCATTGTTAGAGATATGATTTGCAAATATTTTCTCCTATTTTCTTTTTCTTGATAGTTTCCTGTGACACACAAGTTTTTAATTTTAATGGAATCCAAATTTCAGTTGAACCATTGCCTAATCCAAGGTCACAAAGATTTGCACCGATGTTTCCTTCAAAGAGTTTATAGTTTATATCTTACATTTAAGACATTGATCCTTTTTGAGTTAATTTTTGCTTATGGTGGGAGGTTGTTGTCCACATTCATTCTCTTGCATGTAGATATCTAGTTGTCTAAGCACCATTTGTTGAAAAGACTCTTCTCCAATTAAATGATCTTGTCTCTCTTGTTGAAAATGATTTGACCATAGGTGTTTTGATTTACTGGTCAACTCTTAATTTTACTCCACTGATTCGTTTGTCAGTCCTTATACCTGTACTATACTGTCTTGACTAACTGTAGCTTTGTAGTGAGTTTGCAATGAAGAAGTGTGAGTCCTCCAGCTTTTTTTTTTATAGTATTGCTTTCACTGTTTGGATCCCTTGCATTTCCATATGAATTCTAGGGTCAGCTTATCTGCCAAAAAGGCAGATGGAATTTTGATAGGGTTTGCTTTGGGTCTGTAGGTCAATTGGGGAAGTATTGCCATCTTAATATTAATCCTTCCAATCCACGAATGCAGGGTATCCTTCCATTTATCTAGATCTTCTAAAATTTCTTTTTACACTGTTTTTTAGTTTCAGTGTTCAAGTCTTGCACATCCTTGGGTAAATTTAACTTTAAGTAGTTTATTCTTTTTGATGCTGTTGCCACTTCTAATCGACATTGTACTGGAGGTTCTAGCCAGGCAATTAAGAAGAGAAGAATAATAGAATGTATCCATTATTGGACAGGAAAAACTAAAGCAATCTGTTTGCAGATGACTTGAGCACTGTGTGCCAGGCACCCTGTGTAGACATTTTGCATACTGCTTCCTTATTTGATTTTCACAAAACTCTGTGGTTTAGGTATTTTTGTGTCCATGGTGCAAATAAGGGGGTTAAGAGTCAAAGAGGTTAGGCGATTTATTTAGCATCACCCAGCTATATGAGTGGAATCTGAACTTTGAACCTGATTTTGTCTGACTTCAAAACTGCATCACAAACATTCATTGAAGGCTTTATGAGTATAACGCACCATACTAGATTCTGTTGCACTTTTTAAGAGAGATTTGTCCTGTCCTTAGGAATATATGTTTGAATAGATGAATTGCAAAGCCTAGAAATAGGTACTTTTATTAGAAATTTTTTGTATTTCAAGATTTATACTTTAAAAAACATATATAATATCCATTTAGGACCATAACCACTGTCAGGCTTTATGATATATTTGTTTCATTTTATTTGTTTATGGGAAACATATAAAAGAGTTTTTTCTTGCCACCCATATGCTGTTTTTTGACAGTCAGTTATTCCTCTCAAAGAGATATATTGTTATTCTGAAACCCAACTTAACTAAATCAGAATTTATTAAATATTTGTGCAAGATTGTTATTTTTAGTCAATACACGGAAATGTATAGTTACGATGAGAGGAGAGAGGATCCTTTAACCATGTCAGTTTATCCCAGTAAGGAGGCCTATTTTTACTTTGTCATTGTGCATCTGTGGATCTTGATTTATTTCTTGATCCATGGCAATGACATTTTCCTTGCCGTAGATAATAGTAATGTTATTAATGGCATAAGCTTTTTGAGTGCTTTTTATGTAATCATGTTTTTGAAGTGCCTTATATGTATTATCTTATTTAATCCTCAAAATAACCCTATTAGGCAGGTATTAATACTGTCCCTGCTCTATGGATGAGGAAAACAGTAATTTTTTTAATGTCACACTGCTAGTAAGTAATAGGGACAGGATTCAAACCCTGGCAGAATGGCACCAAGGCCATGGTTCTTAATCATGATGCTACTCTTGACTCATGTGCTTGAATTAACTACTTTTATGTCCTGGAAATTTACCACACATATTGTTGGGAGTTTGCTCTTTACGGTTTAATTGCTGTCAGTTCATTCCTATGATAGGTGATAGAAATATCATAGTTGATGTTAGTATTCTCTTTGCCTTGCTTCAAGTTCTGTTTTACTTTATCTTTCTGCACCAATGAAGTTTGTCGTCTCTTTCTAGAAATGGAAATGCTTTTGTAAACAAGAGAGAAAACATTTTCTAAAGAAATATAGCTAGTTATCAGGTGGTTTTATGTTGCTTCAATTCAGACTGATATCTAAGGAAATCAGAAAACTTACTTTGGTTTCTTAAATAGTAAGATAAGTGACATATGAAATCAGATCAGGAAATGAAAATAGAGAAACATCTCATATTCAAAGGAAGAAGCGTAAACAAAACTACCTCCTTCACCTAAATCAGGGATATATTCATTTTTTCTCTCTCTCTCTTATATTCACATCGCAATATGTTTTACTATAATTTCAATAATGTACATAGTGTATAATTTCAATAAGGTATAACAATTATTACAAATATAATATTCAGCCCATATAACACATTAAAAACTGCAGTAAATCCTCGAGCTATAAAGAGGATAAGTCATAGCCCCATGGGGTGATTAAATAGGTTAGATAAAACTCGATTTCCATGGATTTCTCTGCCTCATGTTTATTACATTTGTTAGATCTTTCTCTGTCAAAATTCAAATTGCTTCTTATATTTTGTCTCTTTTCTTCAAGCCTGATTGCTTTTTAAATGACCTAAGTCCCCTTTTACCCCTATTTCCCAAAAGTCCTAAAATTTTACTCCTTTCCTATTCTGCCACTTTACTCAGAGGTCTAGGTAAGCATGTCACACTTTCGTAACATGAACTACTTATTTAGAAATACCACAATGCTCTGATTTTCTCTTTTGTTTATAAAGGTTATAAATATCACGCTCAGGTGTGAGTCCTGACATGTAGTACTGTGGATCTGCGTGAAACTCACATTATCAGGAGGGTTGTTCAGAGTCCCAGAATTTCAGTTCGGCAGTACAGTCTGCATTGTGATCAGAAAACCAAACCACTGGTTCTCTACGTTTTGGAATCAGCTAGAGTGTTAATGCGCTAGACTGCCTTAGAGATGCTTTAAAATGTTGATTTTGGTCTTCAAATGTTTTCGCAAAACAAGAAAACGAGGATTTACTGCCAAAATCACCACTGCTGTTTATCAACCTATAAATTCCTAGTGCCCTTGTCTTTCTGTTAGTGTCACATTAAACACCCAATTCTTGGATCAATGCAGGTGTTTGTCTTCTTCTTTGAACCCTTTCGTGAGCTGCTGAATCCTGTTGGAAAAAACCACTCATGTGGTTGTGTGGCTTAGTATCCCTACAAAGTTGGAACTTTGTCAGTGTATGGAGGCTCATTCTCTGTGTCCCTGGTTAACAGACTTTCCTGTTACTCACATCAATATGTGATGTGGGAATTATGATTTCCTTTTCTTCTCCTGCTGTGTGAAAATGTCCCACATTACTTGCTCTGGATTATCAGGCCTGAGATTCTACTGTCACCTCTTGAGAATAATGCTCTTTCCTACTAAAGCAAGGTCAGAGAAACCTGCGAGTCTAATAATTTTGTGGTCCAGTCTTGGCTGTGGACCATAGACAAATGTTTGTAACTAAGGTTCTTATTTTCAGAGTGAAAATGAACAATACTC